CCACACCTGTGTCTTTGAATATGAACATCCACTTCCACGTCTTGTAAAATCTTTAGTTGACACAAACATATTTCACATTCCTGAAACTGAAGGCTCACTACAAAAGAAATCAAGCCACTGGGATGGAAGGAGATGTTTTCTGAGGGTTGAAAGAGCACAGGTGATGCAAATTAGCATCTCCATCCCTTTCAAAGGAATTCTTTGCTCCAAGAGGGAAGTCAATGTCCATGGAGCTGTACAGTCTCAGTGCTGGTGCTGGGAAACTCTAAATGAAATGCCGGTTTGGCCTTGGGTTTGTGTTTTAACATACAGAATACTCAGGCAGATCCAAACATTACATTGAAATACTTCGAATAACCTTTCATCTTTATTAACCCAACTCATGATTCCCATCTGTTCTACCGTATATTCTTGCCTTTATTTCAAAGTCTTCACCAAGAAAGTTATGTCCTGAATAATTTATACTTATTCTTTGAATTGTTTTCTCTATTTGAAGGAATTCTGGTTACTTTTTTTTTTCAATCCTTCTATTTAGTCTTCACTGTTGCGTCATGCAGGGTACATGAGAATCTTAGTGACACATATTGTGACACCTTTTTCAGGCATTACCTTGTTTATTTTTGGTTCTACTATATTTTCATATTCTTATTTGGTTTGTAATATCTAAAACGAATCAATTCTCTTTTAGTAAATTATGGAAAAAAATTAATAAGGCACACTACGTCTCAATCCTGAGAAAATAATGTGTCAGGTTATGTAGCATTGTATTTGCAAAATTATGTTTATTCCTGTATGCCTACTAAAATTTGACTTATTTTACATTAATGAAAAATCTTATCTTTGACAGGATAATGCTGTCTTAACAGCATGCTATGGGATAAATACACTAAAAAAAGACTTATTAATTTAATGTTAGAAAAATGTAATTGCGCCGCATGCATGAGCATGTCAAGATTTCAATTGTATTTCACTTCAAGGAAGGATGTGACGTGTGAACATTTTGTAAATCTAATCTCAGAAAACAATGACTTGAATAATCTGTGCTTTTGTGCAAAATGTGTATGCTGTTTACCATACATCATTTATTGACCATTTCAGTGTCAATAAGATTGTAACATTTATCCTTATACTGTAGCTAATACCATTAAATTCATGGGAGTATATTTGGATTTTTTAAACTTATTTTACCAAAAGATATGCAGCTGTTTTTAACTTGTGATTTGGAGCAAAGACAAAAAAAAAAAAAAAACAAAAACAGCTTACTCTTGCCAATTAACGAAACATATAATGATGCCATTTTTACGATGGCATTTAAAAAATGTTATTATCACATTAAGTATTCTTATTTTTGTTCCTGTGTACTCTTCTGTTACAGAAGCTCGATGTATCACTCTTACACACTGGTCATTTTTACATACCTTAATTTTTTTGAGAAAATAAAGATCAGCATATAGCTTTCTTTTACTGTGCTTCAATCATATTTCAATCAAATATGACTTGTCAAGAAAATACAGTAGTTAATATATTTTTTCAGAAATTAATCTATGCATCAAAGAGAGAATAAAATTAGCCAAGGTTCTGAAGAAATTTGAGTTTCCACTATCGTTTTCACCTGTTTCTGTTTTATTATAAAGTGGCAAATGTAACTATCATTGTAAATATACAATTATATATAAAGTTTTGCATTTGAACTATTTCTTCATTTTTCTGGAACTGAAGATAAAAAAATGAAACAAAACTCTAATATATCCTGACTTCAGAAGCATATTCATACATTTATATTTGTAGAATCATCCACTATTTCAATGTGATTCTGACACTAAAAATAGAATTTACAATTTCTATAACAGAGAAAGAATCTCAGCTTTTTGTGCTGTTAAAATGAGCGGGGAATTTTTATGCTTCATTGTGTTACATTTTGCTCAGATAAAATTAAGCAATACCATGGAAGATCTTCTCAAAAACAAAGAGTTGTAGATTCATCTGTGAGGATAAAATAGTCAATTCGCTCTTTCTGGATATATTATAAAAACTTACTCTGGTCATGCTTTGTCACCAAGAAACCAGTGGTCCTATTATAAGACTTTATCACTTGTCAGTAAGCTACCAAGTCATCCTTCATCCTTTGCTCTTGCATCAATACTCTCATCTCCTGCCAATGGCAAAACAAGACCACACTTCCAGATACAAGTGGTCATTTTCTCAAGTAATGAACTTTGCTAAACAGGTGTTCTGAAGTGGGAATGATAAAGGGGCGCTCTGCTGCCCTCTGCTTTCCTGAAGCACAAACGGCTCTATCAGCAGTAACATCTACATCATCTGTCTCTGTTCCTCAAGCTTTTAGCTTCAAAATGAAGATTTTGCCCAGAAAACCATTCTTCAGGTTTCTTAAGCTTTGATTTCATGGTTTAGTCCATGGGGTTTGAAACATATAAGAATAAGTACTCTCAGAATAAACATGATTTGATTTACATATACATTTAACTTAAGTGTACTAGGAGCCATAATTTCTTGAGACTATTTCAACACGTGCTTTAAACACCATATTTCAAATAGGGGAGCATAAATTATGGATGGATTCAAGATTCAGAAATCAAAGCAATGAAACTATTTTTCATTTTTTTCACTTTTTCATATTTTGAAATATAATGGGCCAATATATATTTATATTGTAAACATTTTTAAAGACAGCAAATACTGACTTTCTTCAAATAAAATTTCCATTTATTTTCGAACCAGGCAGCAGTTATACAAACATTCACCCTGTGCTCTGAAGTATGATTTTTTTCGTATATGTGTAGAACAATTATGAGCATTCCAAATTATTCTTTGAAATTAATTGGAAATGAAACAAGGCTAATTTCCAAAGCATTTTTACTGCAATGAATATTTGCTTAACATAATATGGAGAAAAACAATATGCAATCTTTTTTTGAGTTGAAAACTCTGCTTTTTAAGTGATAAGGAGACAAACGGAGGCCTGGGTAACAAAGGATTGAGAGGTGAAGAGATTTTGTTTGAGATTTATATCTCTAGCATTTTCACAGTTAGCTGCAGTAAGTAGAGCTCATCATAAAATTATCAGTGGAATTAATGATTGTGATTTCCATTAAATGTATTACTTGTGAAATTGAAAAGTGTATTGATTAGTATCTGTGTTTTACCACGAAAGCTCAAGTGATTTCATACGAAAAGAACAGTGACCCATTTTGTTGATGTCTCTATTTTATTATTTTTTTCAAAGAAAATAAGGCTTTGTGCTTGGGATTTGTTTGGTCCTGGAAATGACATGTGTATTTATAATCATGTTGAATCAAGAGTGACAAGGAATATACAGCCAGATTTTTATTTTTTTTTTACAAAGATATTCTTTTCCTATAAGAGCAACATTCCTTTTAAAGTTTTGTTTTTCTGTTTGACTTCCCAAATATTTTGATTAAATAAATACCTCTGACAAAGCTGTGCTCAATACTCTTGTCTAAATGCATGGCATCTATCTTTCCAAAATGATGTGACTAAATCTTTGATTTCATCTTCTAAACCCCTGAAAACAGAAATTGGATACTTGGTGAAGGACACAGACTTCTGTTGCAGAATAATGATTGTACAGAGTGAGGGAACCTATGCTGATCTTGAAGGAATACAGCAACCAAATGGCAAGGTTTGAGGTGAGAGCCTAGAGCTTCTGCAAAGTGTATATATTTTAGGGTCATATTTGGAACAATACATGCTGGACAGTAGAGATAATAGGAGAAGTTACATGCTAAGTCTTCTCGTTGATAATATCCATAAATCTGCAAACACTTGCTATCATTCTGATTTATTTTGTTTCAATTTGGATGTCTCTATTCTGTTCTTGGTTTGTAGGACTAACCAGATCTATTTATTCCAATGCAAATGTGTAACATTTATGTCTCTTCCTTAATTAAAAAAATATGTTAGTGTCTTTATCTGTATTTTCCTTATCTTACACTGAGTTCTTTTTCATTATTGATGCCACTTGCAAAACCCCCGAAGCCAGGGCTGTTAATTTAATTTTACTTGTCTATGTCCCTTGAAAATTTAGTGTACTACTAGCATTTCTCTGTGTTCTAGAAGACAGAATTTATTGTCAACTAGACTTACAAATGAGAACATATAAAGCAAGAAATAAACTACTGGTTTAATAATATATATGTTAGAAATTTCACAGCCTCGCCTCCCAATTTTGTGGCAGATTTTGGAAATGCTATATAAATGAAACAATTTACTTTGACTCATTTCCTAGGATTTATTTCTTATGAGTAACAGCTCTTACTGCTACAAAATATGGTCTAAAATGCTCTTCGAATAGCTAGCCACATATCTACATCCTCAAAGGTGTCTGGAAGGCACAAAGTCAGACCCAAAGGCAAGAGTTAGTAATTCAGACCACACTGCCTGGACACAGTATTGGAAGAGAATTCTAAACTTAAACATTCCTTATATTATCCAAAATAAAGAAGATCTTGGATTCATATATTTGACGAGAACATGACATTTCTTGGGAGAATCTGAAACTTCTCATGAGAAATTAAATCAGTGAATGCTGTTAGATTCAATGTAAGACTATGCTTTTGCATAAAACAATCTGAAATAGCTTCAAAAGTAATGTTTAAAGCTTTTCTTGGAGCTGCATGCTTTCTGGCTATATCTTACTGGTATCACAACAGATTATATAATCATAAATGCTTAATTTCAAGGTGAAAAAAAAATCCCAGATGCAGAATGTAGGTCAGTGTTGATTCTAAGTTTCTAAACAAAATACAAAGTCAAACCAAATCTGCCAGCATACAGTTAGTCCATGTTTCAGCTATTTACCTATAACATCCATGGAAAAGTCCAATATTCTAAAACCCTCTCCTTCAAGATGATAACTTTATTTCATCTTTATTAAAGTTATGTCTTTATTACAATCAACCACTATTAGTAATAACATTTTCATTTAAGGTGGAGTTTTGATTTTTTCTCTTTGATTTAGGTGTACTAATTTGAGCATGTGAATTTTCTACATTGCAAGAGGCAAGCTTTGTTCTTTTTTTGTCCTACACAAGGAAGATTTTGAGTGCAGAATCTTTGCCACTAGGTCTTGCGTTGCCATTTTATTTTTCTCTCCTTGGGTGAGTAGATTAGAAGGACGTGGGAAGGAAAGGGGAAGGGTAGGGCTGAGAGGAAAGAAGGGTTCTCAGCTATGTTGAATCTTGATTCACGACTTTGCCTCCATTCATGGTTGGGGTTCCAGAACTTTTCCTCGAACGCCCTTGTTTTTCTCCAATTTCATGTAGTGATGGTTCTCTATACATACACACTGGAAAGACAACACACAACAATTACTCATTAGAGTCAGTACCAATTTGACCACAATAAATTCTCAGATTTTATTTTTGCAATTCTTCATTCTCATCATCAGCAGTTTTTCCCACTGTGAATGTTGGAGGGGTACACATAGTTCTCCTCTAGTTCTCACAGTCACAACCTTTTAAGCCTTCTTGAACTGCAGAACTCTGAGTCTTTTCTGTTTACTTAAAGATAAGGATTGAGTCTTTGTGGTGTTCTAATCCATACAATAAGATTTTTATCCAGTTACAGGGGGATATTCAAGTTAGAGCATTTCAAAATAGAAACAGCTATTTTAATTTTAGTTTTTAGGTTTGGGAAGGAAAAATATTTACTCACATGCTCCCATCTTTACCTGACTACAAGAGTTGTGAAACTGGTATGTCAAAAGAAATGGTTATTTCTAATTTTCAGGACATGCTATGTAACAAATAATGAGAGAGAGAAAATATACAAAGGAAAGATAATGAAACAACTCCTCCAACTGGGATAAAATTCTTCCGTCTGCAATAACTAATGCAGTCCAAGGTTTTTTAGTTAATCACTCATTGTGAATGTGGTTCTGCAACTGTGAGATCTCAGTTATATCTATAAGAGCAGTTTCTTCGTTGCTCTCTTGTTTGGCTCAATACTCAGTCATCAGTGAACTCCCGTGCCTGCTGTTAGATGATTGCATAGAAAGAACAATGTCTTCTAACTCAAATTTATTCTTGTAGGATACGACCTATCAACATACAGATTATATAGTTCAACTTCTTTATACTGTTGTGAAGAAGGAAAATATAACTGTCGTGAATTACATAATATGTTTTATGAAAATATCAGGGATTATTTTCATTCTTCATTTAGGGACAGATAGTTAACTGTATCCACTGTTGAACATTCACTACAATGGTTTAATAGCTCAAATATTATTTTAATGTCAAATGGCTTTATATTTTGGGCTTTGAGTAGTCAGAATCCTCAACTTGTGAACCACTGTTCTCTCGTGAGCCTCTGGTTCACCCTCCAAGTGGCTGCTACTGCTACTGAGAAGGAATGCCAGCATCACAGCGGGGGGCTTAACTTGTTTAAACCAAAATGCTGACCCCCTCATAGTCTTCATTTTAAATAAGCTTGATATTAATGTTGGTGAAACACAGACCACAATTTGAGTCCCACAATGTCTATAACATAGACTTTCTTTCAGTTCATCATCAACAATTATTCCACATATAGATTTTTTAAGTGAAATTGTAAACATTTCAATTAATTTATTGAATGGCTCTTAAAATATCTGCAGAAGACCTTTCAATAAAGTAATGGCCTCTACAAAGAAAACTAACTCAGACATTCTTCAGTTTGCAAATAACACAAGTTGGTAATTCAAGTTGCTTTTTAAAATTATAAAAAACCAGAAGTGCCAAAACGAAGTAGATTTCTTACCTACATCAAAAAAAAAAAAAACAGAAGTACCTTATGAAAAATCCTAATCAGATATTTTCTTTATTTAAATATTTATTTGTTTATTTATTATTAAAGATTTTTTTTATTGGAAAGGCATATATACAAAGAGAAGGAGAGACAGTGAGAAAGATCTTTTATCGGCTGGTCCACTCCCCACTGGCCAGAAGTGAGCCTATCTGAAGCGAGGAATCAGGAGCTTCCTCTGGGTCTCGCGCACTGGACAGGGTGGAACCCTTGGAAGGCTTTGGGCCACCCACTGCTGCTTTCCCAGGTTACTACACAGTGCCAGCCTCATGTTCAAACTTTGAAGTTGCTTAAGTATGGTTGTTCTTTCCTCAATTCATTATAAGTAAAATATCTTTCTGTCTCTCTAATCCTTTTAAAAGATAAATGGATCTTTTAAAAAAGAATGTATGAACGTATGATCCTGAATATCGGGCACTAAATGAATAACGCACACGCATACAAAAACAGAATGCAGAAGTGTTTTATAAAATGTTCTATAAATACGAAATATGAGTTAAAATAATTGAGTGTAAGCAAGAGCCAAAATAATAATCCCTTAAAACTATTTCTTATGTCAAATAACTGAAGGAAAGAGGAATTGGGAGAGGGGGAGAGAGGGAAGGAAGAATGGCTATCTTTTGAGAACTGTAGTCATGACTTTAAAAATATGATTTTTCATAAAAATGTAACTTATTTATTTATTTTTAAATGTGTTCCTTTTTTTCCCTTTTTATTGGAGAGGCAGATTTACAGAGAGAAGGAGATACAAAGAGAAAGTGGCCACAATGGCTGGAACTGAGGCAATGCAAAGCCAGGAGCGAGGAATGTCCTCCAAGTCTCCCACATACAGAGTCTCAAGGTGTTGGGGTATCCTATACTGCTTTCCCAGGCCACAAGTAGGAAGCTGGCTTGGAACTGGATCAGCTGAACATGAATCAGCACCCATATGGAATTGCGGCGCAAGCAAGGCAAGGATTTTGCCACTGAGCTATCAGCCAGCCCTTAATATTAAAATGAAAATGCTAAAAATTATTCAAAGCATTTAAAAATAATTATTTTGTCTATTGTAATGCTTTGATGAACGTAGACAGTACATTAACAACTTCATTTTTTAAAGTATAAACGGACTTATCTAGTCAGGTGGTAAGTATTGGCCAAGTTAAGATCATGTGGTTTCACATTCTTAACAAAGACACTTTAATAGACTCAGAAAGGCAAAATTCATCGAATAAACAATGCACAAAAGATATATATGTATATATATATATATATATATATATCTGTAACAGCAGCCTAAAATTCCTTCTAAGTCTCCCATGTGGGTGTTAGGTGCCAAAGCAATAGAATCATCCCCTCCAGCCCTCCAAGGCACATCAGAAAGGAGAGGTTCAAAGTGGAACAGCCAGGATTCATACGCGATGCTGAAAAGCAGGGAAATCCTGACATGTTACCTTACAACATTGGCCCCAAGTCAATGCTATTTGACTAAATATTCCTAAAGATGTCCTAAAATGAAAACAAATGCTGCATAATATTATGAAAACCAAAATGGCACTGGCATATATGGGAACAAATAAAAAGTGCTAATAAGTATTTGGAGGAAAATCGAGCAATAAGGCTAGTAGAACTAACTTAAGTAAGAGCTAAACAAATTTCTTATCCGAATATGTAAACCACAATCATGACACACATGAGTCTAAAATTTGAGAGTACATGAACAGTTGTTGTCTTCAATAAATTGTGGCTAAATAAGGACAATATATTAGTTCAGTTTCTAACTAGAAAATGTCTGTTACATGACAATGATATAACTAATTAATTTATTTGAGAAATATCAGCCAGACTGAAGCTTTCTCTATGAATTCTAAATGCAGCTGTTAGCAGCATTGAAATTTATGACTCCTTCTGGTGCCCTGAAAGTACATTCTCAATTTCTTACAAACTAATTTAGTCGAGGCTTCATTACATACATGAGGTCTTTTGCTCATCTAACTTACCCATTCCAAGTACCATAATTTTGACTATAATAGAAATGTGAGGTAATCTAGTTCAACCTAGCATGTCTTAGTTGACTAGAATACTTAATTTGGCTTAAAAGAAACCTAAACAAAAAAACGATAATAAATCAGGTTTTGCTAATTCCACATAAAAATGAGAACCACATGCACCTCAGGTTCTAGTGAAATTAATCACAGTGTTAAATGCCTCTCAGTGCAAGCTTCAAAATTCTATAGTTGATGCTTCATTGATCTTCAATCACGCACCACCAAGAAACTGGGAAAGACTTTTGGAAGCATGCCTATGGCTCTACAAGTTTTTAAATCTCTATTTTCTTGATTTTTTCCAGGACCTGGAATGCATACAAAATTTAGTACTCTATTTCTTTTGATGAATAGATTTTTCTATACCAAAAATAAAGTGAAAATCTAACCAAATTCAACCAAAAGGAAATAAAACCCCTTAAGCTCCACCAGGTCTCAAGCATTAAACTGTATTAAATACTCTACAATGTACCACAGTATGTAATTGAAGTGTTTAACTGAGTTTCTCTGTCTCTCATTCTCTGCCTGTCTTTCCAATAACAATAAATAAATATTAAAAAAAGAACAAAACAAAGGTTGAAAGAAATAAAGGAGGAAAAAATGAAGGGACGAAAAAAGGAAAGAATGGCAGAAAGAAAAAGAGAAAGAAGCAAAGAGAGAAAGAAAGAAGGAAATAAAGTAGGAGAAAGAGAAAGAGAGAAAGAGAGAGAGAAAGAGAAAGAGAGAAAGAGAGATAGAGAAAAAGAAAGAAAGAAAAAGAAAGAAAGAGGAAGAGAGAAAGAAACGAGGAAGGAAAAAAGCCAGGCTGTTAACTGTAACGACTTCCTTTTCCTATATTACTTTTATGGGAAGCTATAGTGCCTAGTAATTGAATGAGCTTCTGATGCTCATTATATCTAATGGTTCCATTATTCAGCAGCCCTCAAATGTAACACCTTATTTTTTCCAACTGTGGGTGAAGAACCTGGAACTTTAAGAAATGCAAATTAATGGACTAACACAGACCCACAGAATTAAAAATGTGTTAGTTGGAATGTAAAAATATGGATTTTTGTGTGCTCTCCATTTGGTTTTGAGGCACACACAATTTGCACAGCTGATATCCTATGTATTTAAAAGAAAGAATTCAAAAAGTTCACAGAAAATATAATTAAAATTTAACTTTATTTTGATGAAAAATGATCCATGCATCAGATAATCATAGTACACATCTTTCATGGACTTTTTGAAGATCAGATGTGCTACTTTCAGATTTTTTTGCACAGAATGAAAACACAAAATACATGCACCACTTACAGTAAGGATACTATGATATTAAATTAAAATACAATAGTTCCTTGTAAATTTGTCACTAAATATACGGTCCTCACTGTGTTACAAGGCCAATCTGAGTGCCAGTTTCCTCTTATGTAAAAAAGAGATAATATATATTAACCAGAAAATTTACAAGGTTTTAGTGACTATCAAATGATATGTT